CACTGCAAGGTGCTCCGTATATTCTCACTTATCTTTTGCTCAAGCAAATAATTTTGTTCCTCAACTCATCCATAACCTCATTCCGTAGTCACTTCTGCTCCACTTTTGCCTTGCCAAAGCACATTCTTCTCCACACCTGATCGGATGACAGATTGCTGTAGAAACGCCTTTTCCCCAACCACTCTTGGACCATGTTCGTGAGCCACATACCATCCGCAAATTTATTTTGCTACAGGAGGAAGGAGATGTGATTTTCTAAGGGTCCTGTGAACTTCGTGAGTTGCCTGTGAGATGCATGAGAAACATTCAGCGGTGATTACCCAACACCATTTCATTCTATAATCAGTTGAAATAATCTCCTACAATCCTTCCCCATAACCTATCACATAACTGGGTAGAGAAAACCTAACACAATATAGAAAGTAATAGACAAGCTTTGGCTACTCAAAACTAGCATGTGAATAGCAGTATAATAGAGTGTACAGTCCCGTGTGTCATTACTTTCCTGTAAAATTTTCGATTTCCAGTTATTTCATCTAATAAATGGCTATGCTATTGCTAGGAGCATCGGAAGGGTTCACTATTTGCCATATGAGAAGGAGCATCGGAAAGTCGTTGTGAAGTACTTGGAACTGTTCAAGCGAGTTTTTCCTGCTCTAAAAAGGACATATCACTTGGATCTGGTGGGTATTCGCCGAGTTCCATCAGTGACTTGGATTCTTTCTACTGATCAGTCCTGCAAGGCTAAAACCTGCATTCAAATTCACTGAAAGTATTTGTGCAAATGGGTTGCTAAGACATGGGATGTTTTCCATGTTGTGTTTCTATGTTTTCTTTCTCTGCCTCAAAGGGTTACCTTAGAGGGTCAACGAGCGATGGAGATCGAAAGTTTAGTGGAAGTTTCGTACCAGGAATCCAAATAACTGATCAGTTGATCCTTGAAACAACCAATTCATCATCCGCGTTGATATCGAGCGGAGGTATACTCGTAATCCATAAGATCGGGTAGGCGTGGCTGCGTACTTAATTTTAAATGGCGGCGGTCCAGGATATCGTGAGATATTTTCATTTTGGAACAGTCGTAATCATGTCTACATCTAACACAGAACGCGATGGCAGTTGT